CCTGACTGGTTGCATCACTGCCTGGTATGGCAACTGCTCGGCCTCCAACCGCAAAGCACTATGTTCTCTCTGCTACTGCACGGCAAGTGGTACCAGAGCGCCAAGTCTAGGTCCAAAAAGTTTCTTAACAGCTTCTACCCCCAAGCCATAAGACTCCTGAACAGCTAATCAAATGGCTACCCGGACTATTTTTCTTAAAACTGCATTGTTGGTTAAGGGCTTGTAAGTAAGCATTTCACTGTAAGGTCTACACCTGTTGTATTCGGCGCATGTGACTAATACAATTTGATTTGATTTGATTTACTATGTTACGTCTAGTCTATGAGACCAGGCTGAGTTAAGAGCTATAGTGTTGCTAGCTTTTTATCAACTGGTTGTGGTGTTTTGCCACAGATATACATGTCGTTTTTATTGTTGGCTTGTATCCACTACTATTTAATTAACGGGATGTGCATAGACATAGGTAAATATTTATGTTAAGCTGAATGTGTTTGATAGAATATGATATCAACAACAGATGTATTTGAAATACATAGTTTATTGTTCCCCTACTGGGCAGCACCAGGTAGTATTTTAATAAAGGCAGGTAGCGGGGGAGATTTGATTAAAACACCATGCTTGTCAATGGCATGTTCATCAAACTGTCAAGACCACAAAGGTGAAAACCTCATTTATTTCTCTCCGGGTGCCTTGGTGTAACTCTCTCTATCCCTCTCTCTCTTTTCTCTCCCTTTCTTTGTCTGGCACTGATTCGTCCAAACAAAACCTAACCCAGCACCTCTAAAGCAAGGTGAATGCCAAAGGTGATTTTTCAGCCTCACTGCCAGAGCACAATGAGTTTGAGCTAGCAGGGCAAAATAGTTCTCCCTTCAGCTGGCAGGTCTGGACGGGAATGGCGCAGTGGTCTAAGGCACTGCTTCTCAGTACTAGAGGTGTCACTACAGACCCTGGTTTGATTCCAGGCTGTATCACAATCCGGACGTGATTGGGAGTCCCATAGGGCGGTGCACAATTGGCCCAGTGTCGTCTGGGTTTGGCTGGGGTAGGCTGTCATTGTAAATAAGAATTTGTTCTTAACTGACTTGCCTAGTTAAATAAAAAAAGAATAGTCTTGACTGACTCTTGGTTGTGTCAGTGGAGTCATTATCTGACTTGATCTTTTCTTCTTAATGCACTGCCCTGAAATTAGGTCAAAATGAGACCTAAGACTGGGTTTGTTTGGGCAGGGCTTCAGCCTGATATTGATTTGGTATAGTATTAAGCTGGAAATCTCTGCCAGAGAAGCCTTTCACGCCGACACAAATGTAAAACGAAACAATTCTCTATGGAGACGTAGACTATTGATCAAGTTCAAGGGCAAGCTCTATTATCCATGAACTTGGACAGCTGTTGATTTATTACTCCACACTTTCAACTTCAGCCTTGATGTCAGCCAGGAAGGGAGGGAAGGAAGGGAGGGGAGTGAGCCGAGCGAAAGCAAGAAATTCAAATGACTGCCAGATAAGTGAATGTGCCTTTGCTGCAGAGGGACTGTGATTTCAGCGAGGAAAGGGAGGCTTTCCTGAGCCAGCCAGAGATATCATTCGTCCAAGGTTGACCTGGCTGCTTTGTGCCCTGCCCACAGAAGTTCATTATCCAAGTGCACATGCACAATGAGGGAGCTAGAGTAGCGCCAGCCAGCTAGCAGTCACCGCGAGCGCTGGCACGTCCTTTTAAAATGACTGAGTGGCAGCTCCTTTTGAGCTATCCTGAAGACAAATTGGCCTGGATCAGCAGCAAATTGGCTGATGAGAGGGTTTGGATGTATGGGCCCGCGAGGACATTTTCATCATGAAGGGCTTTGCGTTGGTGGAGGGAGATTCAGAGATGGAGGGTTGTGGAGGGTTGTGACCCAAAACGCAGAGAGGGGGCAACACTGTGGACAATGTAATTTGCCCTGTAGAAATGTGCAAATGTTTATTTTTAAAGCCTTCCCACTGGGCACAGACGTCAGTTCAACGTCTAGTTTTTAATTGCATTTGGTTGAGTTGTCAACTAACGTGAATTCAACATGAAATCAACGAAACATTTCACCATGTCATTGGATTTAGGTGAAAAGTTTGGTGAAAAAAATATTAAATGGCCTTACTTTGATGACATTTCGTAAATCCAATCAGTTTCCGCGTTGATTCAATGTCATTACATAAATTAATATTTTTTTGGTTGAAGTGACGTGGAAACAATGTTGATTCAACCAGTTTTTCCCCATTGGGTTGCTACCAATGATGTACAGTGCCTCCAGAAAGTATTCACATCCGCTGACTTTTCCAAATGTTGTTGTGTTACAGCCTGAATTTTAAATTGATTAAATTGAGATTTTGTGTCACTGGCCTACACACAATACCCCATAATGTCAAAGTGGAATTATATTTTTACAACTTTTTACAAATTAATAAAAAATGAAAAGCTGAAATGTTTTGAGTCAATAAGTATTCAACCCCTTTGTTATGGCAAGCCTAAATAAGTTCAGGAGTAAAAATTTGCTTAACAAATCACATAATAAGTTGCATGGACTCACTCTATGTGCAATAATAGTGTTTAACACAATTTTTTGAATGACCTCATCTCTGTACCCCACACATACAATTATTCAACACAGATTCAACCACAAAGACCAGGGAGGTTTTTCCAATGCCTCACAAAGATGAAAAAAAAATCACAGACATTAAATATCCTTTTTGAGTATGGTGAAGTTATTAATTACACTTTGGATGGTGTATCAATACACCCAGTCACTATGAAGATACAGGCGTCTTTCGTAACTCAGTTGCCGGAGAGGAAGGAAACCGCTCAGGGATTTCACCATGAGGCCAATGGTGACTTTAAAACAGTTACAGAGTTTAATGGCTGTGATGGGAGAAAACTGAGGATGGATCAACAACATTGTAGTTACTCCACAATACTAACCTAATTGACAGAGTGAAAAGAAGGAAGCTTGTACAGAATACAAATATTCCAAAACATGCATCCTGTTTGCAATAAGGCAGTAAAGTAAAACTGCAAAAAATGTAGCAAATATATATATATTTTTTTGTGTAACAGTAACCATGTTTCCATCCAGCCATTTCATGTGGTTTAATTACCTGACACATGAAAAAAGTCACGACCGGGCTAATGGAAACATGAAATGCCAGTACAATTTTATAAATGCAGACAGACAATTTGTTCGTTCGACATGGTGGGATCTTTTTGTATCGGTAAAATTAATTATGCGAGAAATGGCAGTGGAAACGCCTTTATGCGCAAATATTAAAATAATAACCATCATAGGCTACAGATTAAATAAGTTATGATGAACTTCACAGGGTGGTGAATGTGCAAGGTGATGATCTTGATGCTCTTTTCCAATAAATATCGATGGTCATATATTCTGGTGACATGATGATCGATGCTTGACAATACAAATAATATCGCTTTTATCCATAATAATATCATAATGTAGGTAGCCTACCCGCACTGTATCTGCAAGCTGTTTTCTAGAGCGCATGTGCCAAGACCAGAGTGGGCACATTTGCTGTATAACGCAACAGTTTTTGTGTCAAAACCATCATGCGATGGAATTCATTTAACTTGTGTTTTTCATTTGGTACATGGGAATTTAAGTTAATGGCAAAAGTAATTTTTATGTGAACTATGTCATCATGCACAGCATTTTATCCGCAAAAATTCAGTGTGATGGAAACACATCTCTGGTGGAAAAATGTGCATATTGTTCTATGCAGATTTTAGAATATTCGCATGAAAATCTGTCGCAAATTGGATGGAAACCTAGCTAGTAACGTTATACTATGCTATTATATTTTGTTATATTATGTAGAATATTAATTAATCATTATGTGATCTTCCAAGACATTGATTCAGCTTTGATTTAACTTTACTAAAGAAGCTCCATTGTGAGAAGCGGCGGAGCCGCCGGTGCTCCGGCAGCACTACACCCCTGCAGTCTGCTGCGCTGAATGAGCAATTGAAGCGCACCTAGCCTACTCTTCTACCTCCTGGAAAATTTGGTGATGCAGAAATGAGAGACCAAATGTGGCTGTTTTATGAAAAAGTAGCAGAAAATATGTTGAATGAGCATGGAGAGCCTCACAAGTTTGATGGAATTACCTTATATCTTTCAGTCTAATATGGCTATTTACTTACTTTTTGTAAGTGGTAAGGCTAAATGTCCTTTCCAAGTTTACCCGGAATTTAGCCCGAAAGTACATGAGAAATATGATTGGTTAAAGATAGGCCTATGACACTGGACATTTTTGTCCCCCAAAGTTTTACCATTGGAATGTGATACAAAGCGAGACAACGGTGTGCTTTAGGACCATGCGGATGCCTCCGAGCGGTCGGGTAGGCTGTTTGGAGTGTTTATCCGACTAAAAAAAATACAATCATAATATGCCCCCCCACTTCTAAAACCAAAGTTGCGCCCCTGACACTGAGTATACCAAATATTAGGAACACATGTTTAACCTGTCTCCTCCCCTTCATCTACACTGATTGAAGTGGATTTAACAAGTGACATCAATAAAGGATAATTTAACCTGGATTCACCTGATCAGTCTATGTCATGGAAAGAGCAGGTGTTCTTAATGTTTTGTATTCTCAGTGTGTATCTTTTCGTAAGCGCAACGTGACAGGTTGGAATGCTTGACTAAAATACTGGGCAAATCAACCTTTTTTTTCTAAATGAGTGGTGTTTGAATTTGTTGATAAAATGCGGGACATGATGCTTTGGTTGCGGGACGCGGGACAAAATGCGGAACTGTCCCTAGGTGCAATGTGGAGCACATATCCACATTCAAAAACATATTTAAAATATCACTAAATAGTTTTCTATAACATGGCAAATTACCACCTGCCTTTAAAACAGTTCCCTTCGTAACTAAGCATTTCTGTATGTTTTGTGTCTTTGTCTCTTTGCAGGTCTGGCAGTTCACCAGATTATTACAATCACTGTGTCTCTCATTATGGTCATCGCAGCCTTGATAACTACACTTGTCCTTAAAAACTGGTAGGAAAGATTCCTTTACTTTGCAATTACTACCCGACACACAACACACCACTTTTGAAAATGGCAATTAAGCTTTTACCAGAGCCACTCATCCAGTGGTACAAGGTATGATTTTATGTTTGTTTTTTTGTCTTTGGTACGTGTTTTTGTAGCTGTGCACAGTCGGGGAATGGCCGTCACAGTAGCCATCAGCGGAAGATCCACCAGCAGGAGGAGAGCTGTCAGAACCTTACCGACTTCACCCCCGCCCGCGTGCCCAGCAAGGTGGACATCTTCACCGCCTACAACGACAGCCTGCAGTGCTCGCACGAGTGTGTGCGCACCGCTGTGCCCGTCTACACGGACGAGATGATCCAGCAGACCCCTATATACAAGACCACCTACAATGGAAATAGGTATGTCGGCTTTAAATTGCTCTTAGCTCTAGGTTTCTGGGTCAGTTTGATCACTGTTTGTGTAATTGCTTCCCTCTCACTGTTCGGTTAGTTATTATGAATTTTCCCTGGTAAAATCACATATTTGGGAAAAAGTCCTGGCCCTATCTTTGGGAAATGGTGTAAATCCCTCTTTTGTAACTGGTATTGTTTCCTTTCTAAAGTACCTCTATAAGAGTGTGTCCTGGACTTAGATGATGAGTAAGTATCAGGTTCTCACTGTCTTTGTGTCTCAATCCTTTGTCCTACAGACCTTCTCCCACTGAAAGGCAGCTGATTCCTGTGGCCTTTGTGTCAGAGAAGTGGTTCGAGATCTCCTGCTGACCAGCTGAAGGCTTTTTTACGTCACATGGGTGGAACAGACTTCCTGAATTTATGCTCTGGTGAGTACCACTTTTCCCCCTTGATCCCTGGGTGATATTGTCCCAGTTTGGGAATAGAAGGGAACTTGGCATATGGTTGTTATTTCGGCGATGATTTTTCATAAACTGCCTGGCTAAATGCAATTTAAACGGCAAGATCACCAAAGGTCATTCATTAGCTATTATAATTCAATATCTTTATTAGAAGTTTAGGCTCGATTATGTTTGATTCATTCCCTTCGACAACCTAGTGTGCCTTTATGTGCCTTTATGAAACATATTACGCATTTATGAAGTTGCGGCCCTCATTCATGTGATCAGTGCAATATTGTTTGAATATTTTGTTATGGGAAAGGGGCACTTTCACTTGACTTTCTTACATAACAATAGGCTGGACTGCCTCCATTTGAAATTCAAAGCGTGAAAGTTAAACACATGCTCTGGCCCAGTGTACGGCTGAAAGCCCAGGGGGCCACACGTCTGTTATTGACCCAGATTTAAAAAGAACTAGAAAGCCTGCAGGTACCGTAGCAGGAGGAAGAGGGCCAAGACCATCGTATCTGTACAAAGATTGGTCTCAGTCAGAGAAAGAACCCAAACGCCCCAGTTCTTCCTTCCAGCACTGCGGTCTTAAAAGACATGGAGAGCCATGGTAGTTAGATGGGCATATACAATGTTATTGCAGTGTGGGTTCACATTGTGACATGGGATTTACAACTGGGAGTTATGGCACATAACTGTAGGCTATTTGATGTGCTCAACATAAATGCTTATTTTGCTCCAACTACTGCTTTAAACCTATTGATTTTCTACAGCTCTTTTAACAATTTCAATGAATTATGTCATGATTTTTCTCCACAGGACACTTTGGTAAACTTTTCCAACCAAGAGAAAGAAGTGACTCAAACAATGGCCAATTTTGTAAAATAGTGGGAACTCTCTCTCTCTGGACACCAATGAAAATGTTTATTTTTCTAAAAATTATGACAAACCGAGCAGCCATACCGCTGCCACTTCATATTATTATCCAGAGACCTGTGGTAGTTTAGATATGTAGTTAGAGTTAATGTATAGCTATATTACTGGATGTGCAGGAGAAGACCATTGACGTCAGCGACACCTTGAAGAGGATTAGCTGCCTTGCAGAGCTAGGAGACTCTGAGAAGCTGCTCACAGTGGAAGAAGCTGAGCTGTATTACTGAACAATGTGCCAATAATGCCACTATGTGCCACAATCTGTACAGAAGGAACTTTCGACAACAATTTATGGACAACTAAAATAGTGCTATATTAACCCTGTATCAACCCAACTCCATCTTTTTTTAAAGAAAAGTGAAGAAAAAAATGTGTTATAAAAGTATTTGAATATGTTTTCTGAAGTAGTTTTAAGAATTGTGTTGCAAAGTCCAAAAAATGTTTATAATATGAAGCACTATTCATTGAGGCCAAGCAAAAAAAAAAAAAGAAAGGTAAATGCTTTATTCAACACTTACATTTAAGGCATTGTTACTAGGTCCCATTTTAAAACCAGAGTAGTCTGTCTATTTTTATACATAAAAAGAGGTCAGTCACAACCCAAGCAGTGCAGTTCCCATGCCACACGATGTTTGGACTGTTAATGACGTGCGCTGTCCAATCAGATATTAAAGCAAAGGGGACGATTTCAAAATACTTATCGAATCCAAGCCCATATTAATTCCCCATTCGGGATGACCTTTTTCTCAGAGGTTTTTGATTGTGCTAACTACATTTCTTCAAAACTTCTGTCTCAATGGCTGTCAAACAGTGCATACCCTATGTCCTGTTATGGTCAGTTCTATCTGAATGTTTATCCAGATAGCTAAGGCAAATAGACAGGATTAGCAGTATGTTTACATATATACTGCCTCAGGTCAGTGTCCAATACACAAGTCTTCATTTCATCTTCCATCCCAAGCATCATTCACAAGTGATAAGACATGATGAGTTACTATGAGTGGAGGTAGGATGTGAGCAGTACCGCACAAGGGTGGAATTTAGAATGAACTATTCTAACTCTACGGTTAGTGAGAAATATTGAATATCTCCTCTCAACTACAGTGCATTCGGAAAGTATTCAGACCCCTTAACTTTTACCACATTTTGTTACGTTACAGCCTTATTCTAAAATGGATTCAATAGTTTTTTCCCCCTCATCAATCTACACACAATTCCCCATAATGACAAAGCAAAAACACGTTTTTAGAAATGTTAGCAAATTTATTAAAAATAAAAAACTGAAATATCACATTTACATAAGTATTCAGACCCTTTACTCAGTACTTTGTTGAAGCACCTTTGGCAGCGATTACAGCCTCGAGTCTTCTTGGGTATGACGCTACAAGCTTGGCACACCTGTATTTGGGGAGTTTCTCCCATTTCTTTTCTGCAGATCCTCTCAAGCTCTGTCAGGTTGGATGGGAGCGTCGCTGCACAGCTATTTTCAGGTCTCTCCAGAGATGTTCGATCGGGTTCAAGTCCGGGCTCTGGCTGGGCCACTCAAGGACATTCAGAGACTTGTCCCGAAGCCACTCCTGCATTGTCTTGGCTGTGTACTTAGGGTCGTTGTCCTGTTGGAAGGTGAACCTTCGCCCTAGTCTGAGGTCCTGAGTGCTCTGGAGAAGGTTTTCATCAATGATCTCTCTGTACTTTGCTCCGTCCATCTTTCCTTGATCCTGGCTAGTCTCCCAGTCCCTGCCGCTGAAAAACATCCCTACAGCATGATGCTGCCACCACCATGCTTCACCGTAGGAATGGTGCCAGGTCTCCTTCAGAAGTGACGCTTGGCATTCAGGCCAAAGAGTTCAATCTTGGTTTCATCAGACCAGAGAATCTTGTTTATCATGGTCTGAGAGTCCTTTAGGTGCCTTTTGGCAAACTCCAAGCGGGCTGTCATGTGCCTTTGACTGAGGAGTGGCTTCTGTCTGGCCACACTACCATAAAGGCCTGACTGTGGAGTGCTGCAGAGATGGTTGTACTTCTAGAAGGTTCTCCCATATCCACAGAGGAACTCTGGAGTTCTGTCAGAGTGACCATCGGGTTCTTGGTCACCTCCCTGACCAAGGCCCTTCTCCCCAGACTGCTCAGTTTGGCCGGGTGGCCAGCTCTTGGTGGTTCCAAACTTCTTCCATTTAAGAATTATGGAGGCCACTGTGTTATTGGGGACCTTCAATGCTGCAGACATGTTTTGGTGTCCTTCCCCAGATCTGTGCCTCGACACAATCCTGTCTCGGAGCTCTACGGAAAATTCCTTCGAACTCAAGGCTTGGATTTTGGCTGACATGCACTGTCAACTGTGGGACCTTAAATAGACAGGTGTGTGCCTTTCCAAATCATGTCCAATCAATTGAATTTACCACAGGTGGACTCCAATCAAGTTGTAGAAACATCTCAAAGATGATTTTTAATACATTAGCAAAAAATTATAAAAACCTGTTTTTGTTTTGTCATTATGGGGTATTGTGTTTAGATTGATGAGGATTTGTATTTATTTAATACATTTTAGAATAAGGCTGTAACGTAACAAAATGTGGAAAAAGTCAAGGGGTCTGAATACATTCCGAATGCACTGTATCTAATTATTCAGTGTTTACCACTGTTTTCCAGTGTCTAATTGCAAATATATTAAAACAACTAAAGGTCAGATTTTTCAAAAGTGCTTCTAAATCCACTATTAAGTGTGATTTGTGTGTATTTTTGGGGAATCATAATACTTTTTTGTGTTGTGTTTATCAAGCACATGGTAATTGGAATTATAATTGGAATGATCATATTATCATCACACAGCTTTATAAATGGTGCCCCGTGTGAGGAGAAGTATTTACAATTGGAAGCAGTCTTTTCTATAGCATAATCTCATAAATTCATGCAAATCAAGAAATTGACATCTGAACATCCCCCTCCAGCTATTTCTTTTAAAGGTATCCCTTCAAATTAGGTCCAAATTAGCTGTATATCTTGCGCTGTGAATGCAGTCACAACCATGTATAATACTGTTCCTCCATAAAGCTCACCTCTACTGTATGAAGGAATACAGTCTCCCTCTTTCATGCCAAGTGTAGTACAGTGAAAAACAGGCATGTTCTTTCCTGGTTCGTGGGGGTTGCTCATGGATGCGAGCCTGTGGAATATCAGTGTGTTTGCCTTGTCAAAACCTCCAGCATCATCAATGAGATGCGGAACCAGGGGATTGGGAGCAGCCAATGAAAAACAAGAAGTCTGGGCCACATGTAATACATAAATTCATTGATAAGTCAATACAATCCCATCTTTGGTGAGTCAGGACACTTGGACAATACAACAACTTTTCATTACACTAGTGGGTTGGTAGAAAGCACAAAAGACAACAACACTCGATCGCAATTATTCTGTGTGGAAAGCAATATGTACAGATGTAAAGATGGACTGGATTCTGTCCCGGGTTGAGATCTGCACTTACTCAAGGAGATGGACAAGATTCAGGCTTCAGCTATTCTGTTCCCTGAGCTCAAGGCAGAAGTAGACCCTTAGTATAGGTCCGAGATGAGTTAACCTAAATCACTAAATCATAAGCTTATGTAACTGGAGGGGTAAATAACTGACCTTGGATCAGAGGTTGTGGTGCAACTGTGACTCCAAGTACACCATCCTCTCCACTCACACGCCAAAACACCATGAATGACGATGCCAGTTCGGCCCAACATGTACGTTGAGGTTGAGTTGCGTCAAAATAACATATATTTTTGGAATGAAGAGTGTTATCCTAATAGTCAGAGGGTTACTAAATTACTGTATATTATACTTGTGTAAATGTATTTTCTATATATTTACTTCTATTTGTGTACAGGTGTGTTCTATTTTAAAGACCTGTCCCTTTTTGGGAAAGGTTCAGCTAGGTTGGGGATAGTGTCTTTGTTTACATGTGTAACTACAGTATTTCTTTCACAACACAAACTAACCTTGTGC